ATCTTAAGCAAATTCTGATATAAATAATAAAATTTGAATTCTGTAAAAACAAGTTTTTAAAAATAAATTATCATTATGGTTTTGATATATTTAATGAATTAAAAATCGTGTCAACATTTCATATAACTATCCTTATATAATAAATGTGTAAAATAAATCTTCAAAGTTTTAATTCTGTTACAAAAAATTTTTTTGTATTATTTTTACTCTTATTAAAATGAAAAAGTGAAAAGAAATCTCTAATTACCCTGAAGAATCTACTATTAAATGGGAAGAAGATAAACATTCTTTTTTTTACAATATAATAAAAGAAGGTATTTATCCCAAAAAACTTATATTAAGTATGACACTAGCACCTGCTTCATATCCAATTCCACATAATTATATTGTTCAAACAACTTGGGGACGAGGACCAAATAAACATACAGTTCAATGTTCAATAAATTATATTGATGATAAGCCTGTATATCAAGTTGCATTTGGAAATGATTTTTGCAATCAAGTTATTTCATATAAATCTTCTTCAAACGCTGCTGCTTTATATCATCAAGTAAGCTTCTTTTTTTTTTTATTATAAATGTTATATCAATTTATAAAAAAAAACAATTTTTTTAATTATATATATAATATTAGCAAATCAATCTGAAAATCAAGACACAGACATCTGGCATACTTTTATTTGGTCTTCAATTAGAATGTTTACGACAAAATCGTAAAAAACAATATGAAAAAAATATTTTAAATCCAATAGATGATATTTCTAATTCAGCTCTTACAAAAAGAGCCAAAAATGTTGGCAAAATGATGTTTAATAACTTTACAAGTATTTCTAAACGATATTATAATCGTATAGATAAACCTATTTTAGAAAAACTTCGATTTTCTGTAGATTAACATAAATATAAGATAGAATTTGGAGATGAAAATTTAATAACTAAAAAACAAAAATACGAGGCAATTGTAAAAACAATCGATCAAGAACATATTGCATGACATGTATATAGAGACTTAGCAACAATTGAAAATGAATTACCACGTGAATGGATGATCACTGATTGTAAAGCACAAATAAATAGAGAAATGGATCAAAAGATTAAAATTACAGTAATTAGAATGCTGTCATTTAAT